TTCAGCAGGCACAGCTCTTACAACCCTGTTTGCAAGTCCCCTTTGAGAGAGGTTGGGGCACTGTAAGTTTACGTAGTTGTGATTGCGCTGTAAGCTCGGATAATATGTGAACTGGGGGCAGAAAGTACCAAAAGAAATAGTTTCCAGCTGCCAATGCTCTGAAGGGTCAGGAATGTCTGTAATAAGGACCCAGGAGCACCCACTGGTCATCGTCTCCGGTGGAAAACTAACCTGAGGTTTATTTTGTATTGGTTTTTAACCCTTCTCCAGAGTTATTTTGTGTAGGAAGGGAAGCTGTTTGTTTTTGTTTATCATGGGTGAAACGTTGTGCGTTGGAGCCTTTGTTAAACGGTCGCATTGTCCAGCAATACTCTCATCTCTGTTAAAGTGTGATGCTTTTTATAGACTTTGACAATGTTTTGCTGACATTGATTAAAGTGTTATTTATACTAATTGTCGCCTGTAGTTTTGATGTAAGCCCTCCGTATACATTTGAAATAATAAATGGTGTAGAGAAATAGATTCTGGTTTGTACCTTGAACAAACAGTGCTCACAAGGTGGGTCTCTCTTCTGTGAAAATGCTGGTCCCTCCCATCATTACAGTGTTGAGATGAGTGACTCTGCATAGCATCCTTCCAAATGTCCCTTTGAACAGGTTTGCTGATTGCCCCAGCCGTAATGGTGTGACTCTAGGCCAAGCTGGAGTCTATATTTACATTTAGACTGCAGTTAAAAGTGCCTGTCATCCATTTGCTACTGCTTTGCATTTAACAAGCCCTCCGAGAAAGACTCCTGGATTTATGCATGTGTGGTAGGAGGCAAGGAGCCACACCTGAAGTCACCTCGATCCCCACACAGATGTGTGCCTTTTAGGTGAGTCCTGGGAGGAATCGATTCAAAATATAAATGGCAATTTGAAATTGAAATGCAGCGGGTAGCTTTCCCTGAGCAGTAAGCTTCACTTTTTCAACCGATAGCAAACGAAAGATCACAAGAAAACACAAACTCAGAGAGTTTAAACTTCCCCGTGCACCTAAGGGAAACATCTTTTTTTCTTTTTTTTTTTTTTTTCCTCCCCTGCGTAAGCACCTCAGACAATAACACATACCTCTGGCCAGGAGGAGTCGGTTGCACTATTTTTGCCATAAGTATTTGTCACTGAGGTCTTGTCCTCTCCTGGAGCGTCGTCAAGGCACGAGTCCAAAAAGACAGTCCCTTGTTGAGCCCGGGAGAGGAGTGCGGGGCATGTGCCCTTCCTGCTCGGCGTGCGCGGAGGGGAGGCTGCCTGTGCCTTTCTAAGCACACGCTCGCTAAGTTTAAATATCGAGGCACATTTTGTGATTATACTTTCTCTCTCCCCTGTTTAATGGCTCCTCCTGTTACTCCCGATACATCAATACAGTTCTGTATATTATATCACCACTAGTCGTTAAGGTAAGAATGAAGAGGAAAGGCAGAGTCAATAGCAAACCCCGCTCACTGTACAGTACAGTAAATAGGGACCTCTCGGTGCAGAGCCACACCGCTTCCAACGGCCATGTTTGTTAGCCCTTTCCCCTGATTCTTTTTCTTTTCCCCCCCCCCCCCCCAAGCCTAAAGACCAAAATAATCTTGCTAGGAACAGTCATAACAGGCAGAATTTCAAAGTGCAAGGAAGATGATAAGAATAGATTTCTACAAGTCCTGACCACGTGATTTGCGAAATAATTAATTCAGCACGTCCCTTAAGAAACACGGAGTCGTCATTAATCTGCCAAGCAAAGGACTCTATCAGACTTGAAAACTGAAGAGATCCCAAGAATATAATATACAAAGGGTGCAGTCCCTCTCTCTGCACACCTAGCTCTTTGGTAGCTGCCGAAAAAGAGACGCTCGGTACGTAAACATTTTTTACTTTTATTCCTCCTTATTTAAGCCTTAATGAACTCAGCTGTCAAACGCTTGACAAATAGGGCACGCTGCTTCCTGATTTCCAGCTCGGCAGCGGCCGGGAACCGGACCGGGCGCAAGCGGTGACCTTTGCTTCCCGGGGAGCGGGGGGGAAGAGGGCGAGCGCGGAGCCCCGCGGAG